AACGGTTAACTCCCCAAACGCCCTCAATGGCTAGATCTGGCCATTGCCAAAGCTGGGAGCTGGGAAGTCAATCCAGATCTCCCACATGGAGGGCAGGAACCCACCTTCTTGAGCCATCAACACTGCCTCACAGGGCCCGACAGGAAGCTGGAGTTAGGAACCAGAACCAGGAATTCAGCCCAGTGTGAGAAGCCGGCATCATCCCTTCCTGCTCAGTCGTTATCTGTCGTCCCCGATGGAGTGTGTCCAGCACTGGAGAGGTCTTCCCACTCCCAGGACTCCTGTAGCTGCCCGACCCCCAGAATTTCTCTTTCCTGCAGCTGGCCCCGTGGCAGCCCCGTGGCTCCTGCGTTCTTCAGCCTTCAGGACTCGCAGGAATCGAGGGCGCTGTTTCCTGAGTGTTTTCTGGGTCCGCAGGCAGTGATACTTTGGGGGAGTGCTTCTTTGACTATCCATGGTCACCTCTGGGATTCGGGCTGCTCTTGCTCAGGGTTCCCTCCCAGGTCAGCTCCTCTCCCTCCTTGAAATCTCCCATGGGCATGAACCTTACAGCCGGTTTCCAGCCCCAGGTCTTCCTAGCATTGTCCGGGCGCTGTTGTCACATGATCTTTCCTGTAAAATGCTTTCATTGTGTACCTGCTGCTCAGGAATCTTCTATAATATGTATAGAATATTTAAGGGTTTTTGTTATTTTTTAAAAAATATTTATTATTTATTTTATTTGACAGATAGAGTTAGAGAGAGACAGAAAGGTCTTCCTTCCGTTTGGTTTACCCCCCAAATGGCCGCTATGGCCGGAGCTACACCGATCTGAAGCCAGGAGCCAGGTGCTTCCTCCTGGTCTCCCATGTGGGTGCAGGGGCCCAAGCACTTGGGCCATCCTCCACTGCCTTCCCGGGCCACAGCAGAGAGCTGGACTGGAAGAGGAACAACCGGGACTAGAACCCGGTGCCCATATGGGATGCCGACGCCACAGGCAGAGGATTAACCAAGTGAGCCATGGCACCGGCCAATATTTATTTATTTATTTGAAGGAGTTAAAGAGAGTTTCCATCTGCTAGTTCACTTCCCAAGTGGCTGCAATGGCCAGGGCTGAGCCAGGTCGAAGCCAGGAGCCAGGAGCTTCGTCTGGGTCTCCCACTAAGGTGGCAGGGGCCCAAGTACTTGGGCTATTGTCCGTTGTTTTTCCCAGGACATTTGCAGGGAGTTAGATAGGAGGTAGACCTGCTGGGACTTGAACCAGTGCCCATATAGGATGCTGGCATCACAGGTGACGGCTTTACCCACTACACTACAATGCCAGCCCCTGTTTGTTCTTAAACTCTGTTAAAGAAAATTAGTGAGCAAGTGCACCTGGAAATGGAAAACCCAGTGGTCACCAACTTATGCCTTTGGGATGCTCGGACCCCCTGGGCCTTGCATAGTTGTAGCTTTGTGGCCAAGTAATTTGGCTCTACCCTGTTTTTACTCCCCTGTCGGCAGTGGGATGGCCCTGAGAAGGTGGCATTGTCTGCTCAAGGCTTCCTGCGATCTATGAGTCCCTGGGCCTATGCTGTCATTTGTCCCACAGGCCGCCTGGGTCAGCCACTCCTCTGCCGCAGCCTTAGGCACTTAGTTCACTGAAGCCCAGGATTTGCTCATACCAACACCCTGGTGCAGTAGCTCTGGTCCTCAGGCACCCATGCTCATCTTGTCCTCCTCAGCTCTGCAGACAGGCTATGGGGACACCAGGGACAAAGCTGAGCATCTTCCTCCTGCAGCTTTGTGGAGTCTTGCGTTAGGATTGGACTGGATTCTCAATGCTGTATTGCCTCTTGCAAGTCTAGTACAGCAGTGAGGCCTGGACTCCTGGCCTAGTGTTTACCCAGGTTTGCTGGGCAGAGGGGAGCTGCGTGTGCTCAGGGGCCGTAGGTAATTCCTGCTGCAGACGGCCTTTGTCTCTGGCCGAGTCAGGGCCCTGGTTATCTTGTCAGAAGTGTCCCCCTGGGCCTGTGTTGGGCTCCCTCACTGGCTGAATCTCTACTCATAGGACTGCTTTAGTTCCCTCCTGGGCTCACAACCAGGGTGAAAAAGAGACTCCTGTGTTCTGCAAACATGTCCCCTTCAGCCTCGCTCTCTGAGAAACTGGGACAGAAACCCAGCCTCCTCAAGGAAGCAACAGAAGCAGCGCGGGCAGGGTGGGAATCTGCTCCCTGACCTTGTGCTTTCTCTGGGCTCCTGGCTTCCACCTGGCCCAGCCTTGGCTGCTGTGGGCATCTGGGGAGTGACCCAGTGGGTGGAAAATCCCTGTCTCCTGCCTTTCAAGTAGATAAAAGCAAACTTCTTCTTCTTCTTTTTTTTTTTTTTTTTTTTTTGACAGGCAGAGTGGACAGAGAGAGAGCAAAAGGTCTTCCTTTTGCCATTGGTTCACCCTCTAATGGCCGCCACGGCTGGTGCGCTGCGGCCAGCGCATCGCGCTGATCCGAAGCCAGAAGCCAGGTGCTTCTCCTGGTCTCCCAAAAAGCAAACATTTTAAAAAATAAACAGAAAACACAGGCCTGAGTTGAATTCCAGCCCCACATTCACTCAGATTTGCTTGCTCTGTGCCTCAGACTCCTCACTGTGACAGGGAAATCCGCAGAGGGGTGGTGTGCAGCAGCTTCTGCTGCCACTTGGGGTGACCCCAATCCTGCCGGGGGGCCTAGTGTGTGTCCCAGCTTCCCCACTTCCAATCCAGCGTCCTGCTAAGGCATGTGGGAGGTAGCAAATGACAGGTACTTCCTCCCCCAACCTCTACCGCCCCAACCCAGCCGGAGTGCCTAGGGAGTGAGCCAGAGAATGGAAGATCTTCCTCTTGTCTCCCTCTGTGACTGTATCTTTCAAAGAAGCAAATAAATCTTTAAAAAGTAAGTCAGAATGTGTGAAGCTGAGTTGAGATGCTGTTGGTGCGTCTAATATGACGGTAGCGGTAGTAGTTAGTATCAGTCTCCTCTCCACGCAGATCTGACATCTAGACGTAGCCACAAGCCTGCTTAGTAACCCAGCGCGCCGATTCCCCTTCCCCTCCCAGGTACATGGCCACCTCCGGCCTAGACCACCAGCTGAAGATCTTTGACCTGCGGGGGACATTCCAGCCTCTGAGTGCTCGGACGCTGCCCCAGGGAGCAGGGCACCTGACCTTCTCCCAGCGAGGACTGCTGGCTGCGGGAATGGGCGACGTTGTCAGCATCTGGGCCGGGCAGGGCAAGGCCAGCCTGCCCTCCCTAGAGAAGCCCTACCTCACCCACCGGCTCGCAGGCCATGCCCATGGCCTTCAGTTCTGCCCCTTTGAAGATGTTCTGGGAGTGGGACACAGTGGGGGCATCACTAGCATGCTGGTCCCCGGTGAGTGGCCAGGGAACGGGGCAGTCAGTGAACTCCAGGTGGGAATCAGTGGGTCCTTGATGGCAGGAGCAAGGGGCTTGGCTGGCTGGAGCTATAGGCGTTTCTCCTCACGGCTCCGTGCTCCTCTCTTCAGGGGCTGCTGAGCCCAACTTTGATGGTCTGGAGAGTAACCCGTACCGGAGCCGGAAGCAGCGCCAGGAGTGGGAGGTGAAGGCCTTGCTGGAGAAGGTGAGCTGCTCCCTGCTGGAGGCGTCTGTGCGCACTTCGGGGCTGGGAAGAGTGGGGCTCAGCTGCATCCCTGGCTTCTGTCCCTCTGGTGCCACCCCCAGGTTCCTGCAGAGCTCATCTGTTTGGACCCACGAGCCCTGGCCGAAGTGGACGTCATCTCTCTGGAGCAGGAAAAGAAGGAGCGGATAGAGAGGCTGGTATGGAGCAGACCCCCAGCACCCAGAGTGTCTCACTCCCACTTCCTCATTCCACCATGGCCTGCCCCCAGAAGTGTGGTGTGCTGGGGTGTGTGTTTCCTGCCAGTTCCCTGACCCTGGCGCTGTTGGGATTTCACTTCTGTCCCCATAGGGCTATGACCCCGAGGCCAAGGCTCCCTTCCAGCCAAAGCCAAAGCAGAAGGGCCGCAGCTCCACAGCGAACGTGGTGAAGAGAAAGAAGAAGGTCATGGACAAGGAGCACAGGGTAACAGCCCTGGCAGGGCGGACTGCACCTCCTGCACGTGGCCCTGGCCTTCCAGCCGGCCGCTTTTCACCACGCCGCTGTCTTCCTCTTATCTGTCCCCAGGACAAGGTCCGGCAGAGCCTCGAGCAGCAGCAGCAGCAGCAGCAGCAGCAGCAGCAGGAGAAGCCCAAGCCCACGGGGGCCCGGCCATCTGCCCTGGACAGATTCGTGCACTGAGCCGGGCTCTGGCTTGGCTGGGAACAACCATCTTTCACCAAGATCACCTGTATGGAAATGACGATTTCTTGGAATATCAGGGCAAGGTGGGAGGGGGCAGTGTGCCCCCTTCCTGGGGTGGGCTGGTATTAAAGAGGAAAGTGGTTTATTTTTTGGATAATACATCTGGATCATCCTGTGGACCTGCTCCCTACCCTGCATGGGCCTGTTCTAGGATCAGCAGGGTCATAGGGCCCTGCCTCCATCTCTCCCCTATCCCTGTGGTTGCTGTGGCCTTAGCTTTGCTTTTTTTTTTTTTTTTTTTTTTTTAAATTTGAAAGGCAGAGTTACAAAGAAAACAAGAGAGAAATCTCCCATTTGCTGGGTCATTCCTCAGTGGCCACTATAACCAGGGCTGGACCAGGCTGAAGCCAGACGCCAAGTCTCCCATGTAGTTGTAGGGGCCCAAGCACTTGGGCCACCTTTGCTGCTTTTCCAGGTGCATCAGCAAGGAGCTGGATAGGAAGTGGAGCAGCCGGGACTCGAACCAGCACCCATATGGGATGTCAGGACTGCAGCCAGCAGCTTCACCCGCTGCGCCGCAGCACTGGCCCCCTTAGCCTTGCGTTCTAGAGACCTGCCCAGAGAGGCTCTCCCCTCTCCACTGTCCCTGCAGATGTCCTTTCCATCCAGCAGGCCTGGCAGCCTCTGGGTTCCAGGAGTCCTGGTGAAGACCACACTGCACTCGGAGAGGTGGAGAGACAAGTTTATTGAGGGGCTCATGCCTCTCTCCTGCCTGACTGGGAGAAACAGCTCCAGCAGTTTTTTTCTCTTACTGAAGACCATCTTTGGGGCTGGTCAGCCAGGGCCCTAGATATCTCCTACACCCGTCTTTGGTGACAGACAGGGTCTACTGTGAACACATAACAGCCACAGCCCAGCGAGGGCCCCAGCCTTAGGCTGGCCTGGGCCCTACCACGGCTCTCTCCTCTTCCGTGGCCCCGGCTACACTCAGCTGTGGAGCCAGGCCATGACCCGACACCGCAGGATGCCCAGGGTCCCCTGGAGCCAGGAGCAGAAGGGCGCAATCCTTTCCCCATCAGAGCCGCCCACCAGCTTCCAGGCTTCCTGCATCTCCCAGGGGTCCAGCTTGTGGGACGTCAGCAGGAACTTGCCGTAGCAGCAGCGGTCCAGTGGGTAGTGGGTAGCACCAGCCAGCCTGACACAGTGGGTTGGGGCAAGGCCGCCTCGTCGAGCACTTACCCCCACAAAGACGTCCTCCAACGGGAGAGGGGGTGCCTGGCTGGCCACCCTCAGAACGAGCTGCACGGCAGAAGCGGACAGCACGTACCCCGTGCCCGAGGCATAGGGTGGAAAGGGGCCCAACGTGTGAGGCCACTGCTTCTCTGATACGTGGTGGCGGCCCCCTGGCAGCCGAGAGGGATTCACCCTCCAGTGCACCCGGCCTAGGTACAGGAGAGGTGTGGCCTTGGCACCCAGAGCCAGGCTGCCCTCCCACGTTTTGTCTTCATGTGCAGCCTTCCTCTGGGACTCCTCAACCCTCTCCCATTGCTCCCAACGGCCCCCTCGCAGAACCAGTTCGGATACCAGTTCCGGGACATTGACATACACATCATCGTCTGTTTTGAGGATGTAGCGGGCCAAGGGGCAGTGTTTGTCGGCCCAATTAAGCCCACTGAGGGTCTTGAGGGTGAGGTTTCGGTAGGAGTCCTGGAAGGCTGCCTGTAGGATATCCCGCTGTGTGGCTGACTCCCACGCCAGGTCGTGCCCGTGAGAGCCCCACGCTGGTTGTGGCCAATTGGGTTCTCCCAGCAGGAAGAGCGTCTGCACCCTGAGCCCCCGGGCCTCACGCAGCCCGCCCCACGAGGCCCGGATGGCATTTCTCTGCTGCAGGTTCTCCGGGGCTGTGCACACCAGGATTAGCAGGAACGGGGGAGCTCCGGGACCACCGCAGGCCTCCCGGTTGGGTATCAAGAGGCGGGGCAGGGCCAGGGGCGGGCCGGGCGAGGAAGGGGCTGGGAGCCAGGAGGCCAGGGAGAGGCTCAGCAGCTCCTCCCCGATGCCCGAAGGCCCAAAGAGGGTCCAGACGATCACCAGCAGCAAAGCGGCGAGGAGGAGGCGCCGGAAGGGGCTGAGGGGCATGGTGTAGCAGCCAACTGGGATCTGCAAGGAAAGTAGGGCGTTAAGGCGGGGGCCTGGCCCGAGCTGCGGGGCGGGGCGGGCGGCCGGCACCCATGCACAGGGCGGATGCGGGGAGCGACGCGGCAGGCAGGGGCGGCTTACCTACCTTGTGGCCACGCCGCGGCCAGGCCGGGCTCCATGGCGGCCCGCAGCCGCGCCGGCCGCCAGCCCTGCTTCCTCTCGGCGCCGCGCGTCCGCATCATCGCCGCCGCCGGAAGCTGCGCCGGAGCGCGGGGGCGGGGGGCGCGCGTGTGCCGCTCTCCCGCATCTGCCGGCGCCGCCGCCCTCAGCTCTCCCGCACCAGCCCGTCCCTCACACAGGCCAAGTCCTGGAGTGACTCACCGGAGCCGCTACGCGCCGCTCAGCTACCGCCCACGCGTCGCCCAACGCCGGCGGGTGTCGCCCGACTGAGCCGGACTCCCCCTCGAGGCCGCGCGCGGGGTCTGTGCCACCCGCTCCACCCGCCAGGGACCCCACAGCTGTACACATTCCCCGCAACGCGGTGGCCAGCACTGCGGCTTCACAGGGCAGCGGTCAGCCTCGCTAGCGTGTGGGGTGTGCATGTAGGCCAACAGAAGCGCACTGCACGGCCGCCCAGCACTGGGACTTCAGAGGGCCGGCCGTCTGCGCGTGTTTGGGGTCGGCTCGTGTCGTGTGTGTGGGGCTGTCGGGTCCTGTCGTGGTGGGGGGTGTGTACAGTGTGTGATGGTGGTGGTGGGGTGGCCCTCAGCACCGCCCAGCCGCCCCATGGGGCACCTCCAGCCACCTGGAAAGCAGGGTAGCATCCCCTTTCAGCGGCACCAGAGGAAGGAGAAAGCACAGAGGAAGCCATAGGTACAGAAACTATTTATTAACAGAGAAAGCCCACAGACTCATTTCTTCTTGGACACACCCACAGTCCGGCCGCGGCGGCCCGTGGTCTTGGTGTGCTGGCCTCGGACGCGAAGGCTGCAAGTGAGAAGGGTCACAGGTGAGGCAGGCGGGCACCGAAAGGGCTGGAGACGCTGCGCGCGAGGAGGAGGGGAGGGGCCGCCCGCCCGCCGGCACTCACCCCCAGAAGTGGCGCAGCCCCCGATGGGCGCGGATCTTCTTCAGCCGCTCCAGGTCCTCCCGGAGCTTGTTATCCAGACCGTTGGCCAGGACCTACATTGGGAGGGGCCAGGATGTCTTACCCCTAAGCTCTTAGGTCCAGTGCTATTTGGGGGGCGTCCCCAATCCCCGTGAGAATACACACCTGGCTGTACTTTCCATCCTTGACGTCCTTCTGTCTGTTCAAGAACCAGTCCGGGATCTTGTACTGACGCGGGTTCTGCATGATGGTGATCACCCGTTCCACCTGGCAAGCGATGTCAGAGCTAGCCGGGCCCTTTGCCAAGGAAGGCCAGGCCTCCCACCCCCTCCCGGGCCTCCCGTCCTCACCTCGTCCTCAGTGAGCTCTCCTGCCCTCTTGGTCAGGTCAATGTCTGCTTTCCTCAGCACAACATGGGCGTACCTTCGTCCCACACCCTGGAATTACAGATTTCAGTCACTCAATTTTTACGTTTCCCATATAGGTCCGTTATTTAAAAAGGTATGCCAAGGTAGGATCTGCAATAACGGAGTACGTCACCATCTCCCAGGTCATGCTTCCCTCACCCACTTTTCTGGACACAAAGCCTACCGCTTAAACATAAAGGAGGGGACCAGCACTGTGGCGTCATGGGTGAAACTGCCCTGCTCACATCCAATCCAGCTCCCTGCCTACCTGCCTGGGAAAGCTACTTGGGTCCCTGCATGCATGTGGGAGACCCGAATGAAGCTCCTGGCCTGCCCAGCACCTGCTGCTGTGGCCATGTGGGGAGTGAACTGGCAGATAGAAGATCTCTGTCTCTCCCTAACTGCCTCTCAAATAAAATAAATCTTGGGGGGGAAAAAAAACCATAAAGAAGATACTTTGTTCTGGGGCAGGGTCGGACCAATAACAGAAAACTTGGGACAATAACCTACAGAAAGCAGGAAGCCTTCTTTCTCCTCACTGCCTAGCAAATGCAGTTGTTAGTAAGTGGCCTGATTCCTGCATTGTGGACAATTAAGGTTTTGCTTCTCCAAGCTGATGCAGCAAAACTAGGCTTTTGGTGAGGCTAAGTGGGTTAATCAAGTTGTAGGATTGTCAGTTGTTCAGGGTCCCAATTCGTTGGGGAAGTTATCTTATCCTCCTGAAAAGTTCTCCAAGATCACACACTCGATTGTCAGTGCCAAGAGATAACCAGTGCCTAGTGACCAATGCTTATGTCTATGGCACCCCATCAACGCCAGTGACCACTGCCGGCACCCTTGCCGCCTGTATTCAGAAACCACACTGATCCGGACAGTGAAGGAAAGCGCGCTGGCTCAAAAGCTGCCCGTTCGTCTACCTGGATCACAGTGACATTTGGAACTAAGATCTTTGTGGAGAGAGGAAACGAGAAATCAGAGCCCTAAAGCCCATGACTCACTGTGATGAACTGGTGATGGGGGGCAAGGAAGGACTCAGCTCGGCCCTGCTGATGCAGAATTCGGGCTTTGCTGAGAATGTACATTTCTGTTGTGTTAAGTGAGTTAACTTCTTACCAACAGTGCTGGGAAACTAACACATGGTACTTCTCCTCTTTATCTTAAAGCAACCTCCTAAAACCAAATTATCAGGCTGATTCTAACAGAGAAGGTCTAAGTCTCCCTCAGATTTAAATATTTAAGCAGATGAAACAGTACAGATTTACTTCAAAATGGAAGCAAGCAGAGATTTGCGCCCCCGGGCCAGCCCCTCTTCTACTCTTGAATGTTTCCCTTTTTCTTCTTTGTAGTCCAAGGGTGTGGCACCTCACAGAAGAGTTGATACCAACTTAGCATTATTCAAGTACTTAGAGCAGGGGCTGGCACTGTGGCCAAGCACGTAGAGCAACCGCCAGTAGTGCTGGCATCTCATCCAGCTAATGCGCCTGGGAAAAACAGCAGCAGACTGGGCTCCTGCACCCACGTAGGAGACCCAGAAGCTGCTCCTGACCGACACAGGCCTGGCTGTTGTTTCCATTTGGAGAGTGAACCAACTGATGCAAGACCTCCGTCTCTCTACCTTTCAAATAAATCAATCTTAAACGTTTCCCATGGGGACAGGGGTATTTTGGTAGGTTAAGAATTCTAGTAACCTGGTCAGTCGGTATCTCACAGGTTTCAACCAGCCCCAACCTCTCACCAGTTTCCAAATCTCTGCCAGTGACAGGCAGACCATCCTGACCTAGAGCACAGGCAGATGACAGCCCCATGGGATGGTGCTGTAATGCACGTGTAAGGCCAATCTCATTCTCCATCCTACACAGGCGGATTTACTTTGCTTACCACTGCTTTAACCACCCCTTCCCATACTCACCTTCCCTTTTCTTGGCTCAGTCTTCCAATGTCCAAGAATTATTCTGCCAGCTATACAAATCCATCCAAGATTCCCTCCCCCCAGTTTTAATACTCTCACCAGAGGAAGAGTTCATTGTTTCCCCACATAATTAGCAAAGCCTCAGTATTCATCTAACTTTAGAAACAGCCTTTCCCAGTGACAAGTAGTGCTGCAGAATCCCCAGGAGACATCACAGGTTAGGTCACTCAGTGCCTGAAAAGTGACTTAGTCAAACTGTTCTTCCCATGTGTTGTAAACTTAGTTGATGTTTGTTGGCATGTCGACTCACGCCCACCCAAAATAAAAAAGCCACCTAATTTGGGGGGCATCCACACTTTACAGGAAGGGTTGCTGTTATGATGCACTAGGGAGAAAGGAAAAGCTGAAGGAACCCATTCTAGAAATATCACCAGCCTAAGAGCCCCAGGAAAATCCTAGCGCGTTCAGACAGTCAACCTGCCCCACTCCCCGCCTCCCCAGATGGGAGGCTTGGACCTCAGACCTCCGTTAGGTTTTGATTACTTTCTGCCATAAATGCGCCATGTCAAGGGGACTGATTTGTCAGCCGTGCCCTTAGCCATTTTTGTCAGCCCAGCAGCGGAAGCGATATGGCCGTTAACGGCTCAACCCTGCCTCGTTCACGGTTTAAACCTTAACAGCCCCCAAACTCCTTACTTACTTTACCTTAATGGCAGTGATGGCGAAGGCTATTTTGCGCCGCCCATCGATATTGGTGTTGAGTACTCGCAAAATGTGCTGGAACTTCTCAGGGATCACTAGAGACTGATTGAAAAATACAGGAGAGAAAATCAGACGCTCAATTACCCTTGGCCCCCAAGGTCGCTCAGGCGCACAGCCACCTCCGCAGGAGCCACGACCACCACCCTCCGCTTCAATTTCGTACCACAGCAAACTCTGCAGTAACAGCAGGAATGTGAAGTGGTCAAGCTCGGGAAAGCGTCGTCTCTTGACGGTGTCCTGCCCGTTCCCAAAAGTGCAACCCGCGCGGCGGAGGCTGGGGGGCTCTACACACGCCCAAACCTGCGGCAGCTTGCGCGCGCCGGGGCCGCGACCCTTCCCCGGGGCCCCGCTTCCCGGAATTGGAAGCCTTTGGTCGACCCTCCCCAAAGTCGCGACCCAAGACTCCACACGGAAAGCTGCAGGCCCCCACAGTATGCCATTCTTGGCATTCTGACAGCAAACCTTCCCTGCCCCGGTTCCGATGTCGCAGGATTCCGGTACCGATCTCAGGCTTACCATGGTGGCGGCAGAACCGGCGCCGAGCAGGCCTTCTGTGGAAGAGAGAACGGAAGTGACGTAGTGTCCTTTTATAGCCCCAGGGCGGAAGAGGCGTGGCTATCTCGGGAAAAACGCTTCCGGAAACTCAGTGGGAACCGACTCGATTTCTGATAGTTCGTCTGGAGTGCCACAACTTCCGGTGCGGTGTCTCTTTACAGTCCGTAAAGTTCCTGCGTATGAAAGCAGCGAAGGTTCCGGAGGGAAGTTGTGCTTGAAACTTCCGCATCTCTATTTGCATTTGGGTGAAGTGCTCTGAGCTGAAAAGGGAAAGCGAGAATCACGCAATTTATATGAAATATCTAGGGACGATTTCGCGGTGTGCCAGACACCCTAGGATTGGGAGTTCCACTCCGGGTAACGGACTCACCTGGACTGTCAGCTGCCGGAAGTGAGGCTGTGAGGAATGGCCGCTGCGGCGACCATGGCGGCCGCTGCGCGAGAGCTGGTGCTGCGGGCTGGGGCCTCAGATATGGAGGAGGAGGAGGGCCCGCTGGTGAGCACCTGGGGCTGTTTCTCCCCAGCAGTCCCGTCCAGTCTTCCTGTGTCCTAGGATGGGTTTAGGCACCAGGGCTGGAGCTCGCCTGCTACCGATAATAC